ACATCAAAGCTCGCGTAGAAGGCTCCCGTCGGTACTGGACATTGGTGAAGCGCCGAAATGAATTCTTCAACATTCACAATGTGTGCTCCCACGTAACGCAAAAGTAGCGATAGCAAACGAACTAAGAGCCAGCTTAATCCGTCTGCTGGTCCACCACAAGACGAGATAATCGGTCTCGTCTTGATTTCAGTCCATGGGAGAGTCATTGTGTCTGTTTTCGCCGGAATTTTGTGCGTCTTCACCAGATTGTAAAGCGTCGGCACTGTTGGGACCGTACCATAGAGTCGCTTTGCCATTTCAGGACGTATTCTTTTAATTACCAAATAAACAGCCTTTTTAAACTCTATTTTCCATTCTGAAACCAATCGTTATGTGCTCCGTAATAATTGAGACTTCTTATAATTATTCCGCTGATGGGGGTAGCCAACAAATTTTTTATTTTCCAAAATCTGATTTACCAACGGATTCCTACCGTCATCTACTCAACTGTGACAGTTGGACCCCAAAATTGCAGTTGCTGGGTCATTTAGTAGCAACAAATGGTGGGCTTGCGAGTAAGGAGAAGACTACATTATTAGTTTTGCTGTTCTTCTTGAAGAAATTCCCGCAGAGCAGTAGGGATGATATAGTCACACTTGTGGACTGAAACCCCCTTTTGAGTAGTCGTAAGGTTTGCCCTGATCTATAAGAAAAATCAAAGTATCGTGGTTCATATAGGATCGACTGATCTATTAAGCAAGGTAAGAATATGAAATTTAGAGAGAATTTTCCAACGCAAGAAGCAGGAGATTTGGGGGTGCGTAAGAGATAGCGCCGGTTCCGCACTCTGGACTCTTTCTCCTGGGTGAATGAGAATAGTGAGAAACAAGAAAATCTTCCTTTACCTCTTCTGCAATGCCCATAGAGATTTCGGTATTGCGGTTGGCAACATTGTGGTTGAGAACAGCCTTTCCTTGAATATTTTCTAGTTCAATTAGTTTCTGTTGAAAGTTGCAATCTCTCTATTTTATTGATACACTAAAAGATGAAAACACTATGACCACAACTGCTGCAGGAATACGCACTGCCAACTGACTCAATAATTTCACCCCTGCACGTGGTGACAGCTCATTTGTGAATATATAATACTAGTCGATTTCTCTCGAGAATGTTCGGAACCGAACTCGTACGAAAAGCCTTTGAAGGGATTACCACACCATCATATACCCTCATGTTGGCTATCCCCTTATAGCCTAGCGAATCTCCTAAATTGGTTTTATTGTAAAATATGATCTGCGATAAGGGAGAGGAGAGGGAAAGAATTGACCGGTTGTGCAGATACAGTGCGAGCTGGGCAATGACATCGAAAATGAGGAAGCATCTTCAAGAAGCACCTTCAAATATAGGTTTTTTGTAAGTGGGATTTTCGAATCAAATTCTTTTGAACGCTTGTTTGATTGTCTTTTGAAAGTTTAACTCTGTTCACTTTATACATAATGTGGGTATATGCTCATATACTTTTCAAATACGAGCAAACAAACTCCCTTCCTATTTGTACTTTTAGGACCCAGCTTGAAATTGGAGTGTCAAATACAGCATTTTTGGCACATTTAACTCGTTTAGCTTCTATCGAAGATATAAGTTGCTAATCTTTCGCTCGGCATATTACAAACAGAATGGCAATATCATCACAGAACACATGATAAAACTGTCGATTGTAAGGGATGTAGTTCGAAGTGTATCTAAAGAATCAAAACCGTGTGAATGAGAAAACTCCTACCGGAGTTGATAATAATAGTAAAACATGAGGATATACCATAGATTTTCATTAAGAAGAAGGAATTTTCTTTGGATTTGCTCCAAAATCCCAATTGCTTTCCGAACGACCCAATACAGTAGATATGCTCACCATTCTTCAGCAGAAGCGCGACCTTCAGTGACAGCGTCGAAGCGTTACTGGAATCGGTTGGACGTAACTTATAGCAAAACTCTGTGTTGAAAAGATTAGGGGCATCGAATTTGGGTTGAACAATAATGTTTGTTTGAAGACAAAAAGTCAGATATTGGTTTTCCATGCCTGTAGTTTATCATTTTTACTTCCTGTGTAAATTTAAGATCGATCACTTAAATGTTGCGGAACGTCGGGATTAACCAACAAGGAGCAATGCTCACAGCGCTGTGAATGTCACCTTTGGTAGGATTACTCTGAATTGACTAGCGTGAAGATGTATGCTCTTCTAGCTCAGTATGGAGTATCACGTAACGAAAAAAAGCAAAAACGAATCTAACCTTTACCGGAAGTCTTCAAATGATTAAGAACGCAATTCAAAACACTTAAAGAGTCGTAGAGCAGATTAACGACAGGTTAGCAGATGTTTGTTTTTGCAGACTTGTCCTAATCAGGACTGTGATAGGAGTATCTTTGAATTTCTCCATACATCTGTTTGAGAGTGTTTGACAACTTACCTTATTCATCCTCCATTTACCAGTGGCTCTCTTTTGACTTTCTGCTTTAGATGTTATACGAGTCATGGAGTGAGGAAGTGACAAAGAGGTCATGCTGTCCTCTCTGTGAGCGGCGTTTTACTTCGAAGACGGGCGCCATTGAATTATCAGGGAAGGTATGGCACTTCCTGGTACCTTTCAAGTAATCTTGTGAAATTTGTTTACTAATAGCTGTTGGACATGAGTCTTGCGGTCCCTGACGATATTGAGCGATTAGAGCGGCTAGTTCAAGAGACAGAGGAGAAAGAAAGGCATCTCGGAAATGCGCTCATCCATGTAGAGCAGTGCAAGTAAGCAACAATCTCTCAATTGACCTTATCGATTGCTATGCCAAAAAAGGTCACCTTCTTCATTGTGGTCGTAGTGAGCTGATCTTCCGCTCGATACATTGCCATGTTACAAAGCCCACTTTTGCCGAAGCCATTACATGTATTCGTTCTCAATGGAGCTTATGTGAGGGCACCTCCAATTGATCCCATTACTGAGATCAAAGATTTTCCTGTTTCAAAATACCGCGCCTCAACGAAATTTTGTTGTAGGAAGATTATGGATGGTAAGGTCAAACTTGTGAGGAAGGAGGTTGGTGATCGTAATAAGGAAGAAGCATCTTTAACCGAAGAGTTAGAATCGCTCCGCAAGGAACACACAGATTTGAATTCTTCCTTCAAACGCTTGCTAGAAGTCAAGGTATGAATTTTCTGTTTGCAAAATGAATCCAGATTACGTTTCAAATCCGAGCATATTTCGTTTTTTCTTTTTTTCTCGACATGACTGCTCAAAATGACAAAAATTCAGTGACTAGTATCGGTGGAACCTTTTCGGAAGAAAAAAAAACTTGTTGTATGAAGACCAAAAAGTGCTGGGGCAGCAGTTGTCTATTGATCTACAATAATGGAAATATCATGTGCCCTTATGCCAGATTACGAGACTGACCTTCACTGTACGGTTGTAGAAAGACAGCATGTATAAAAAGCGCAATTCGTGAGCAATATGTTAGCTATTGTACACAGCTATTGTATTTTTATTGTTTACGTTTCTGTATTAACCCATTGGCGACCGCGCCCTTTATATTGTCCTTACATCAACTTTTAATATCTCTTATGACGTAGTTGCAAATAATTGATTCCTGGACCGCAATGCCTCAAGATTCTCTAGAAGGCTGTAGCTCAGCTGATACTTGGAAACATGAAAAAATATAAAAACACTTGATAAATAGTATGAATACTACAGGAGCACGATATGATGTGACCCGCCGGCGAGCCACGCCGTCGCCAATGGATTGAGTTATCTGTATTAAGTTTTTAACACGTACCTTTTCCTGACCATTTCTGCTGTGTGTTTCAGTTTTGAAAAATGAGGCCAGGGTAAATAGGTTATGGGATACAAGTGCAGAAATTTCTCTTTGCATAAGTGCAAGCCTATGTTTCAACCTTGAACTTGTTTTTTTTTNTTTTTTTTTGTTATGCATTAGGCAAAATGTAGCATCTTGTAGTGCAGTAGGTGTCTATCCAGTGATTACGAACCCATTCAAAATCATATAATAACATCAAAAAATTTCTGTTTACAATTTCGTTTGCTTCTGTAACAACCTAATATATTGTGTTGGTATAAACTTCTATCTAAACTTCTATCGGTTGATTTCCATTACATGCAAAGAGAAAAAAAAACTGAAATTTGAAAGAACTACAGAATCGAGAAACTTCTTCATCAATCTTATACTTTTGCTATGGTGCTACTGCAGGCGGATGTGTCTTTGATGGATTCACTACTGGCATCGTTCCAATCACTCACTGATCAAATAAACGAACTATCTGAAGGTCTCAAGGAAGGTTCAAGTCATATTTCGCTCCCAGTGCTGAGGAAGGAAGTAGCAGAAAAAGAAGTACGCTTCGTAGAGTTTCTTTTTGTTTTCGTCTTAGCTATAGCCGGATTGATTTTCAGGTTTTCCCTTATATTATTTTTAGACTTTGTGGGGGGAGCATTTTTAAACTACTTCATTGACTGATACGGTGTAGTTCGAGATTGTATATTTGTTGTACTGTGTTGTGTATGGTATTCATTTTACAGGAATGCATATCTTCTCTAAATAGCCAAATAGAGAATTTGCACCTCAGTCTGTCGAAACGGAATGCGTTGACATCCAAGGTAAGAAAACAGAAAGCAGACGCTTGAACAAGAACTACTGCGGGAGGCGGTGAAAAGGAAATCCAACTAATTCAAAAGCTGCAGTTGTTTAGAACTTTTAACCACATAGTACACAAAAAAATTCTGCCATGTAATAGCACCCTAAAATTTCTGTCATATAAAAGCTGAGCTATGGTCGGTATAATAATCAAAGATGAGGGAGAATCAGGGTGATGGTAGTGGGTAACGAAGCGACTTGCATGCCCGTAGGCCTTTTCTAGTTATGATCCGACCTTTGATTGTCGTCGGCTTGCTCTTGCCATTCTTTGTAGTGCCTCAACTGTAGAAGTTGAGTTCGGCATCACTTATGGAACACGAGTGAAGAAAACGCTGGTTGTCGATATTGGTGTAGAATCTGGTACCCAATCTTGCACGTGTTAGCAGCTCTGCCGGCCCTGCAACATCTCCGTCTCTCCTCTCAAAACAATTTATCACTTTTAAATAGTAAACACGTACTGCGTGGCGTAAAATGATGGCGAGTAGAGAAGCAGTTAGGAGAGGTTAAGCGCAGCATATATCCACGTACAGTAGCCCTCGAAAGTCCGGCGAAATGCTTTTTCAGTCGTACTTTTCAGTCGTAACTCCTTTCCTACTTGATCTAATCATACGAAATTTCAATATTTGTAGCATTGGCGTATTGTGAGTATTTACTACTATTGCAACTCAAAACCAACTGGAAATACAAATGATGGTTCTTCTCAGACTTTCGAGCGCTAATACCGAACACAATGAAGGAGAAAACCGCACATAAGGTGCGAATTGTTGTAGATGTGGCCAAACTTGCTTTCAGCGAAATCTACTACCACAACACGTCGTGCTCTTAGTTATGCGGATATTGATGCTTCGCAGTCGAATAGTGTTGGTGGTGTGAAAATGCTTTAGTTAAACATGTAAACATGTCAAAATTTTGCGTGATTTACTCCACTAAGAAAAAAGTTAGTCCTAACAAGCGTTCGATCGTTTGGCCGAAGCATATAGTTTGTTGCAGCTCATGACCATAGCGATTGCGGTAATACGGTTGAAAGCTTGCCTTAATGAAGAAATATTTCGAAGTGCGCTTATGACTTGACTTCCATCGAAACAAACTGGAAAGCTTTTTGGCTAGGAGAAATTCGAGCGAGCATGGTTTGCTTCTGGTTTCAAGTGAGGATTGTACTCGGTATGAGGAGGAGATAACACGGTCATCGGGATGAAGCTAGATCACGGAAAGCGGGAAAATTGCCTACTTGAAGCGACTTTCCTCTGAGTATAAGCATTTTTGAAGCTATCTATGAAGATACGCTTTATATATTTTTTCTTTTATATGAAACACTTACACTCCCGTCTTACATATTGTTGTATAACGTCTTCATATCCGAGGGTAGAAGTGGTCTCCTGGTCGAAGTTTGCTCCAAGATAGAGCCTTTGAAAATGTCCATGTCAGTCTTTTCAAAAGTCATAACACGTCGTGACCTTTTTCCACGCAGCAATCATGAGGGGTCTTCTTTCCCGGACCCGATGATTAATTGAGTTTATGCTTAACATGGGCACATTTGCACCCTCATTACATTTTCCAGTATTGGTTCCCCGCTTGTAACCGTCCACGACTATATGATCGATGATAGTGAAAAGAGAGGGGGGAAAAATTGAGGCCACTTATGGCTGAGAATTATGATGAATAAGGTTTTTTGACTCGGCATATTGGTGGTAACATTTGCGCAAAGCTACGGAATGCCATAGAGTTGATAATAGTAAAAACTACTGATTTAACCCTTGTATTAGGTTAGAAAAGTTGATAGAGTTGAGATATTTCTGTTATATTTTACAACTCAGCAAACAATGCAAGCTGATCAACAATATATTAACCGTCGTTAGTTATAACATTGTCCCACCTAACGGACAAATCAGTGATTCATTTCTCCCAGAACTAGGAAGATTGGGAGGCAAAAAATTCACCGACCACTTGTTCAAGGTGGTCGTAGTTGACGAATTGTTTTTCCTTTTACTATGAAAGCCTTGAGAGGCCGGAGCAAGTGGTAATCTGAGGGAGCAATATCAGATGAATAGGGTGGATGTAGGACCGTGTCCACGCCTAGCTCATCCGATTTTGCCCAGGTCTTTTTACCTATGTGAGGCCTAGCGTTGTTATGGAGGAGGTGCACCGAGGTTGTCTAGGCCGTTTTTCTCGAACTGCTTCCGCAAAATTCTTCAGCTGGCCAGCGTAACAGCGAGCGGTGGCGGTGTGAACTTCCTTGAGCGATTCGTAGTACTGCATTCCTTTTGGAGAAAGGATCTCAGAAGCAGCAAAAGAGAAACTTCTTGGGTGGAGGGCGGATTAGGCTTGCGTTGGCGGCTGTTCTCCTCGCGGGAACCAGACGTCGTGGTGCTTGTGAGCGTCGCAGAAGATCTACCTTCATCTTCAGTATCTAGGTTCTCCAGAAACTCCTTGAGATGTGGGCGAAGAAGGAAAGACTGACAAATGGATACCCTGGTGTCCCGCATGCTATCGGTCAAGAGATGAGGTATCCATCAAGTCAGTGCTTTTCTGCAATCGAGTTCCTGAAGGCGACCGACGATTGTTGGTTGGGCTTACCCAAGTTAATACCCGTAGCCTCATCGCAAGGTTACGGGTGTTAACTTCCGGATTCTCTTTGACGGTGTCGAGAGTGTCGGAGTCGTCGACGGCGAGGGAGCGTCCAGACGGAGACTTGTCTTTGAAGCCCGTGTCTCCTACCTTGAGGCGAGCGAACCGGCGATGGACGGTAGCGATGGAAGTGGTTTCCTTCTCCAAAGCGCTGTTGATGTGGGCAGTTGCTATCGCTCCAATGCAGCGGCGCTACTCATAGAATGATGATGGCTCGAAGAGTTTTGTGAAATCGACATGGTGTTTAAACACAGGTAAGCGCACGCGCCCTTTATATACCTTTTGTGGAGAAGCTTCCAAAATGTTCTACAACAGTCACATGGTAGATCATGAATATATGTCAAAAATCGAAAATCCCGCACTTTTCGAAAAATCCTATCTTTTCGATCAATCTAATACTAGTAGGAATTACGAGCACATGTATTACGTTTCCTTGCGAATCTGTCACCAGCATCTGCAGTCTAAATCGATTCGAATTTGGCTTTCCCTAGCGGGTACTCGTTCAATTTGTGTTTATTATCTTAACTCACATTTCCTTTCAATTTCAGTTACACGAGTTACGAGAGCGCCGAATTTCATCATGTGAAGCCGCTGCTCGGGTTGAGCACATTCGTGAGATGGTTGCTCGCCATCATGCAGAAATCGCCGAATTGAATCATCGACGCGACGAAATCATGGAAAGGCACTTGCCCAAAGCCGAAATGGAATTGCAAGTGAGCCATATTGCTGTTAGATCGGCAAATAAGTTCACGGCAGTGTAACGGAGAACCGTTGAAAACCGTGCTACAGTTTTGAAAAACAATATGTGTTCCACTATGTAGTGGCCATTATTTTCCGCTGTAATAATGAAATCATTCGAATGGCAGACGTTCTTGGAAATACACACCTAAGCAAAATTCCGGATGTTATTATGCATCCGACTGATGCGCTGGCACACAAACAGGAGAGGGAGTTGAAACCCTGCAAATAATGACAGAGTCCTTTTGGTGGCGGCAACTTGCTTCCGTTGTAGCCTCCCACTTTTCTCTTACATTTCACGACAAGAAGAAAAAGATTGGAATGATGTCTTTTGCAGAAAGCGAAGGAAGAGCGTGATACTGCTGAAAGTTGCGCCAAGAACCAAGAGGATTTGAAGCTCGCCTTGATAAGAGGTGAAATTTTTTTTCATTCTCGACAAAACTGTTGATGTTCGAGCCACTGTAACTGTAACTTTGGTAACACACGCTGTGAGAGTACAAACAATAGGAAACCAGACTTTTATCCATGAATGAAGCATGCACATGCGCCGACGACTTCAACTTGGAATTGATAGAAGGGCTTAAAATATTCCCATTCATTCTCTCATTTGAAGAAGGAGATTGAGAAACAAATTTTAATCGAGGTTTTGCGAGCCGTCTCAGTACGAAAAAAGGAACATGCTCCATAGAGCTTTTCTTGAGCTTTTCTTTTTGCAGAGAAGAGACCACGGAATGCCCCTTTTCAAAGCATTTCATTCATCATCGAAATATGTCTTTAATGCGAGATTTTGCCGCAGAATCAAGTTTTCAAGTTGTATCTGGTAAAGGTTTCACAGCAGCCGGTTTCCATCTCAAGTCCTCTGAAACCTATAGATATGTATTAAAAGTACACTACTCTTTTGAATATGCCTGACATATCAGAGTTTAACAATATCGCTATCGGTTGTTGACAATTCGGTCACTATAGATTACAATGAGCATGAGCAACGTAGCCCATGATGTGATGCCTATACGCGTAGGTGGCAATCTTACATAGAAACAACGTGAAGGCTTCTAACAAATTTTGGGGAAAATCTCGACTGTAATGAAATTGTCGACAAACACTTCCCACAGAACCTTCTAATATACGCAGGGTGCGCCATAAACATGGTAATACCTTATAGGACAAATTTAATAGTACCGTGAACGTGTTATACAATAACCTGGGCTGTCACTTGATCGCGCTCCTTGCATTAAAGGACGAGAGGTGGAACCCTTTTATCTGCCTTTTGTGAGGATTGAAATTAATATAAAACATGTGTAGGAATGAGTTTGAAATTCATCAAGCGAGCTTAGTGTGCAGTTTCATTCATAATTTCAACAATCAAAGGCCCAATCAAAGCAAAACAGGGTTTAATGAAGAGATTAGTGATAAAAGGCACCTTCGTGCAAACAGAACAGTTAGCATCCTTTCAACCGCAACACGTCATACGAGTCCAATTAGGAAAGGATATATTCCAACCACTGGAAGCTATTACCTTCACCATTTACAAGATTCTCTTAAAACACTGACCGCAGACGTGTACCTTTGCTGGAATTAATTCCTTGACCTTTCATTTGTTGACCTCCTCTTGCGACGTCTCAGGCTATCGATCTTTTGTGTACTGATACCCATGAAAATATGTTCCTACAGCTTCCTTTGCCTAACTACCTCATAACAAAAGAAGCACTCCGCCAGCATAAGAGTATCTGAGAAGTGCTTTTCGAGTATGAGCAAGCCAAGAGGAATCAGTAGAAAAGAGGTGACACAGAAATTCATCCTGATGAAGTATACTAGATCTTTTAGAAGGTTGAAGGAAGAACTACAAGAAAGTTTTAAGCTTTCGTGAGTAATAGTCAAAAGAAACTGAGCTTAGTCTAATGCAAACAGCGCACCTGAATGGTAGCAAGGGTTATATTATAACACATTGACGGGACTTCGAATCCGTCTTGTTGACAATTTGAGATAGTATTTTCCTCGTTTGTGAGGTTTCCAAAATCTATCCACGACATGTTAAATCTTTGAAATTTTCCAAATCACTTGTAGAGTTGCGTAACCAGTACAATCTGCTGAACTCAACGATCGACAAACTAAATAAGGTGTCGTCAAAGACAAGACAGGAGAAGGTATGATGCAGATTTTACTTGATTTCAACGTATAGTTTTAAAACAGATCGCATGTTTATTGGAGTTATTAGGCTCAACGACTTTCACTTGAAATTCAGAATTCGGTTTGAAAATGTAAATGAGACCAGGATCTTATCAAAGGCAAAAGGAGGCGGAATTCGCAATTCTTCGGCACAGCTCGCTATTAAATTTTTCTGGGATTACGCAGAGAGTGAACCTATGGCCTTCAAGGATAGCGCGTGGATCACTGTAACCGGGTCCAGAATTACCCGATTATTGGCTAGAAAAGCTACCAGCAGAACGTCCTATGGGCTGCAGAGCCGGCCTGGACGACGTACACGCCAAAGCTGGACATGTCATGGCAGCCTTGTTAGTGCTAGCGTCGACGAATAGTACGCGTATGTGGGGAGACACCTAGATGATAACAGACATATCACCTGTATCACCCGTCGTCCCGTTGATCATCGGCTTCCTCGAATTTACGTCAGTAAAGTCTATATTCGTCCCTGTCACTAGCCAGAGTGGTCCAATGAATCGTCTTCGCTTCAGAGGCAAGAGGTCCAACATTCCTTTCGCTCGGATCTTCCGTTAAAAAGTGTGACCATTTCGTTGGCGGCCGTCCTGGAGTTCGTTTGATGCCTCGAGGGATGCAGTCAGTAACCGTCCTGGTCCAACGGTCATCACTACATCGCATAACGTGTCTGGTCCACCTGATCTTCGACTACTTGGCGTATTCAACGGCATCCCTGTTTTTTGTTCGATGACGGAGGTTGGAACTCCGGATTCCCTTCTGCGCTTGCGTGTGTAGGGAAATTCCGAGCATCGTCCTTTCTAAAGCGCGTTGAGTAATGCTGACAGCAGGCTTATCCTGCTTACGTGGAGAGTAAGGCAACGAGGCGTACGTCAAAGCAGGAAGGACAGCACAGCATAGTCGGTGTTACAAGCACGAAAGCGGAGGTGGTGTAGATAGCGGACGTCGACCTTCACTCCCGAGTCTTCCAATTCCAATGGCACATAATATTTTCGAGAGTGGCACTGAAGAGTTCAGGCGAAATGTTATCGCCCTGCCGGACACCTCCCTTCACGTTGAAGATGACTTCCTTTTAGAATGGTGAAATCATGGTCGTGAACTTGTCGTAGAGCTCACGGAGCATTCTTATACATGTATTGAGTAGGAACACCCTGTTCGCCCAAGGCTTCGATTATCACTTCTGCCTTGACGGTATCAAAGGCTTTCTTCAAACAGATGAACGTAAGACATAACGGCATTTTGTATTCTTGTGATACTTCGATGAGTGTTGTTAGAGTGTGGATATGATCGATTGTGCTGAACCCTCTCCAAAACCCTGCTTGCTCGCATGGTTGTCCTTCTTGTAATGTGCTAATCCTATTCATGATGACGCGAGTGAAAAGCTTGTAGATTACAGACAGCAGACAGATTGGGCGATAATTGCCAATGTCGTCTGAGTCTCCCCTTTTTACAGCAGCACAGTCTTGCTAGTTTTCCTCGAAATGGACGCTCTGCGTTTCGGTGTCGCGTGAAGGGCAGCCAGAGTTCTGACGATAACTGGTGAAAAACTCTTCAAATGTTCTGGTTTGATCCTATCGGGACCGGTCGCCGTACAATTCTTCGTCGCTGTGATGGCATGTCGAATTTCGGAAGGGAGAACCGGAGGAGCATATACTCGTCTTGCCTTAGATGGTGGGTAGGCAGCAGGCTGTCGCAGAGATCCGAGTAGAAGTCATAGATCACCTTCTCGATTGCCCTTCGAGATGCAGTAACTGTTCCGTCAGGACGACGAAGGGAAGTCATCTTGGTCTAGTAGCTGACGAAGCTCCGTCGAGCTTTGCGAATGCTCTTTCCGGCCTTGGCGGCTTCGTCAATAGCTGCTGCTCTTCTCTCTTTCAGATCTTCCTTTATCGCTTCTCTGCATAGCTTCGCAATTTTGGACGTTGGACGGTCATTGCCTGTAGCTTGCGCGATTCCACGCTGGCGTATCAGCTCGAGAGTCTTCGAAGAGAGTCTTTTCATGGCTACTTGTGGACTCTCTGCTTTCCTAGCGCTACCGTGAAGATGTTCGGTGAATCTTCATAGACATTGTCGATAACGGAATCTTCCCATTCATTCGCAAGGGGGAGCGAAGTGGTCCCAGTTGATGGAGGTCTTGGGGCCTCGTCTTCTAAACTCCATAGCTCTCGCGAAGGAGACGATGGTCTGGTCCCGTATAGAACTTCGAAACAACGGCGACGTCAGTCGGGTAAAATATTGGATTGAAGATGATGTGGTCTATTTCACTATGGAAGCAGGTGACTCCCATGTCCATTGCGAATCAGAGAGCTTGGAACTACGAGCTACCATGGATGGTTTGGCTTGACATGATAAACTCGACAGCCTTTCACCTGCTCTTCTTTTCATTCTCTGAGTCGCGATGAGGAGCTCTTCAGCCGTTCTTCTGGGGCAATCTTGGCGTTGAAATCACCGACGATGACTTTGAAGAAGGTATGGTCTTCTCTGTGGAGCCTCTCCAGATCCATATAGTACGCTTCCAACTCCTCTTCTTCGTAGCTTGGTGTTGCTGCGTAGGCAACGAAAATGGTTAGAGTGGTATCGATCAACACCTTAATCGCGGACATCCGATTCGGGTGGTTAAACTTTTGTACGAGTCGATGCTCATGGCCAAGTGCGCCGCGGCTGTCGCATGTTCCAAGAATAGTTCTTCTTCAGTCTCAAATACAGCGTGCAGCGGGCGATGCCTTCTCGTCTTGTCAGTCCGATAACGTCGTACTTGATCTTCCTAGCTTGCATCATCCGGTCTTCTATACGCGCTTCCGATGCAAGCGTCCGTGCATTGGAAGTACAGATCGTCCTTCTCCTTGTTGAAAGGACAGATCGTCCTTCTCCTTTTGGGCAGCCTGTTTTGGCCCTGAGATTTTAGCAGCCTCTCCCAAACGGTCCTACCCAACGCTGCCGTATTGGGGGCTTTCTTAGGTTCAGGAGAATGAGGCCCATTACTATTACTGCTTTTGGCCCTGAATCGCATCCCAAATACTTCCCATTCACTCGAATGCAAGCTTCCGGCTAATTCGATGAGCAGTATACCAACTGCACCCACAGACTCTCCACACACGTATGCATGCGAGAAACAGAAGGTATATCGACTAGCACAGCAGAATCAGTGTTTCCATCTCCCTGAATCCACCTGCGTCTCTGGGTAAGTATTGGCGACATCTGGTCGGCGATTAATTCCGCCACCTGGGGACGCCCTACGTAACCTCGTCGCTAACCGACTGGGACCCTTCAGTGAGAGAGAACTCTCAGTGAAGGATATCCGTAAATAGCAGACATAATCTCGTACAATCCCTTTTTTGCTACTTTTCTGAATTCCTTAGTTCCTAAAATCCGCCTACTTTCGCGCTTCCTCAAATATTTGCATTATTCTGCACCACAACTTTCATTTTTTATCCCGTTGAATACCTCAGAATTTTAATGAACTTGTGCCTCTGATGTGAAAGCAGAACATGGCTCGCTTCAAGTGGTATCGCAGAGCCTGCGCTTGTCTAGCCAAAACTCAATTACTAACCAGTTCTCCTACTATATATGATTCGCCAACCGTGTCTGTTGGTTTGGTTTGTGTGTGGGTCCGGAAATTCATAAGTTCTGTGTCCTTGGACATTGTGTGTTCATATTTCGAATTAATACAGGTGGAGACATAGTTCACGACAAAAATATTTTCTGAGATTCCCTGCCAGGATGAATCTGTGGCTCCCGAGAGTAGTACATGTGAGGACGTTGTCGGGCCGAAAAACCGTCCAGTCAGAGCGTAGCCAAGGTTTCAGAACCGATTCGGCCGACACGCACCCAATAAGTGGCCGTGCTAGGCCGGCGTTGTTATACTGCACTACTCACAGGACGACGGATAGAACGCTTGTATGTGAGACAGCCAGACGAAATCAGACGGCCATCTTTTTAACTCCCTTTTTTGCTGCGCTTTCAAGCTTTATGATTTTTTGGTTCAGCCGATTTTCGCGCTCTCTTCGCCATTCTTGCAGCAATCGGCGCCATGGCTTCCATCCTTCCACTTGAAATAGATGCCCCAGAATTATCGTAAACTGTGCATTCAAATCACTGCTTATAGGTGCAGGAGTTGTTCTATCAGGTGTGTGCGCAGTAGAACTACTCAGCCAGTTCTCATAAACTACTACTGTGTCTTTGTCGGAACATTATGTCTTGCAGCCTCATGTTGTAGATTTAATATTCGAGTTCCACATAAGTTAGCGGAACTTTTTCGCAAGAGTTCGGTGATGATTACAGTAGACCCTGCTCGAATTGGCATTGGAAGAGCGGAGCTTTCTTTTGCGATCTGATCTACACATAAGGGATACAATGGCCAAGCTTCCAAAATTCCCTGGGGGCGACGACCTCTTGTCAACGTATCTCCGGAGCAGACCAGTGTTTTTTCTTTTCATAGAGCGAGTCGTTTCCGACCGATTCGCTTCGANCAGAGAGCGTGGCCGATCTTATCCAAGGTAGATCACATTTCTGAGGGAGGTTCGTTCCCAAGCCGTAATCGCGTGAGCGAAACCGAGCGAGTCATCTCACCACTCCGCTTAGGGAGACGACATAAAGACCCAACGTGAAACATTCACAGTAGGTGACTCTGACTGCGTTGCGGCCCAATCGAATTCGTGTGGCACAGTGTGGCGAGTTTGGAGTTTTTCATTCACCATTCTTCAGAGAAAATCAGCAGCTTATACAAAGGTATTCAATATCTCAGCAACGTTACGAAAACCGGATTGCGTTGCCCCAGTCATAATGAGAGCGATGCCGAAGATATTGACGCGACATTCAAAAAATACGCACGAACTTTCGAGACAACCTATACGTAAGTAAAGATAAAAAGGTCATGAATATGGTTTTCTGATAGTCATGTTATCATCAGTTGGCAACGTTGGTAAGCACCGTACGATGTTTCAGTTCACTAATAAGGTTATCCAATCATTAAAAACTCTGTATCATAAAAAAGGGAAAAAAGCCTGTGATGGATGGTTATTGTTGTAATCTAAGGCAGAAGGTGGCGATTCCGTTAGCGTAGGCCATAATACTCTTCTAATGTCTTATTCGAGTGCTCGTGTGATTTGGAGGAAAGCCTCTTCAAAGGTTCTGTGGTCAGTATTGAATTATTTGTTCTGGAAAATGGAATGCATCCCGGCAACCAGGCATTCCGACACTGGGGAAGAGGAAGGTCCAACGTAAGCGGAGCGGTACGGCTGATGAATGAATGAGGAACCATCGTCTTCCTGATCGAATTTCCCCCAACATTGTGTGTGATCTCCGAGGAGCAAGAGCTTCGGTCATCTGCCGCGCTGTTTTTCATTTCCGATTCGAGGGGAAGGTGGTCCACAACTTAAATTATGAGCTGGTGATATGAATAAGTTGACGGTGATGTGACCAACGGCTTTCTGCGAAATTAATGTAATTTACTCGATGCGGATTCGAATAATTGTTTGTTAGACGTGCAAAAATTGAATCGTGGGAAGCAGTTTAATTTACAAGGCTTTTCCTTTTTGATGGTTAACCTCTTTTTTCACATTGTGATGGCTCCTTTATTGGACTAGTGGCAGCAGGCAGTCTATCTCGACGGCATTGAGAATTGCGAAACAGTTTTTTCGTGAAGAATAGCGTTTTTTGAAGCTCTCTTCTTTCTGAACAGCTGTTTTCAGCTTGACGAATTGTCGCGCTACGTAGCAGAATGCTGTTCCTCGATCACAGAGTTGGAGAAAAGAAAGACAATGCTTGAGATTTCAATCAACGATCTTGAAGGCAGTGTACGCGAGATTCTTTATTCTTCAAATTCATCAATCTTTCTTTTTTCTTTCACTAGTAGCACACGAGTCCTATATGAAAAGGTAAATAGGAGCTACTTCCTCCTATGGAGCAAACAATATTAATTCAGCATTCAAAACGACGCACACTTGAAGATCAGCTCACCCGTCTACTTATTGCGAGCAGAATATCGAATGTTGAGAAAGATCTTGCTGAATTAGTCTATCAAGGTGAAGGAAAGGACGTAATCTATCAGGAACGCGCTGTTAGTACTTTTTCCAATTTTCTTTGTTTTGAGTTGCTTTATTCAATGAATCACATTTTGCTAATATATTGATGGTTCATGATTGTGAGTGTTGAATTCATGACGCTTCCATAGAACTGCGTCTTCCTTGAGTGGCGATGAACGGATCGATTACTGCCTTTCTTCAATTCATCCCTATTATAGTACTGTAGGAAAGGCTAACATTAGAAAACTGGAAGCCAAGGTGGAAGAAAAAAACTATCATAAATTACGTTGGTTAACTCTCGCTAACGGCGGCAGCAAAATATATATATATATATATATAAAATAAACCAAACTCATCTTCTCTTCGGCTTTGACCCGGTAATTGTTGTGACTAGAGTTTCGACGTTATCGTCTTCTCCAGAGGCTTGAAGCAACTGGAGATGATTTGCACTGTATCCAACAAACAAATTATACCCTCCTGTGAATGTGCCAACGAAATCAAAGCCCACAATACGAAGTGGAACTCAACAAGGTTCCACCGCTCAAAATAAAATATGAAAAATATGAAAATCCGCTTTCGCCACTGGTGACTGTCATTAGCGAGTGAGACTTCTTGCTGTCTCCCTTATCTTGTATACGAACAATCACGTTGAAATGCTACTTATTCACAAACTGCAGTAGGTATATACGGCAAAAGATCGTTGGTTATGGCCGGCCACTCATATCTACCATTCATTTTAATATTTTTTGGAAAAATTCAAAACGCCTTCTGTGCCTTTCTCGCTGAAATCTCCGTCTCCTGCGCTAATATCGTGCACATTGCACGTTGTGCTCTTCCATGTTGTGCCTACCGAGCGCCGTCATCAGGCTGTTGCATCTCTGTGAGGCGCTCTTTTATTCGTATAGCTAGTTGTCTTCCCGTTTCTCAGATGTGTGTTGACCACGTAAGCGGCATTTCATTTGGCAGATCACGCCTATCAGTGCGCAGTCACCCGTTTTTCCGTATGGACTCTTGATGCAATCTTTTGCTCTGCACAGCTTGTCATAGAACCTGTTCCGAATTAATAGCTGCTTGATGTTGTTATAGGAATATCCACTAATTGCACAACATCTTTTAGCCCAGATCTGGAAATGCTCCGCTGTAGAGTGTTGCCAACTTTTTTGGAGATGAAGGAAAGACAGTGGTAATTTATTTCGAGGCGAAGTACACTGCGTATTAGTGTGGCCTTTTCTACTACCTTGTGACACCATATAACTATTCATAACAGCTATCTCCCAAGCTAAACGTCGTGAATCGAGACGGCTGCATGTTCCTGGACCTGAAGAGCAGGTCAAAGTATTCATTTGCGATGTTAGTGTGAAATGGTCTGAGAATATCTAACTTCACGCTATATCTGTTCATTCACAAGCCGTGCAGACACATGTTGTTGCACGGCTTGTGGATGAGCCGATGATGCGTGAACTTAGGTATTTTTAGACCGCTTCACACTAACATCGCCACTTTGCCCACTCCAAACGGCATTGATGTTATGATGAATCAGTCATCGATATCCATAGTGACTATTGGCTTTACTATTGGCTTCTGCAACGTAGGATAATCTGGGGTGCGCCCCAACGTTGTGATTTGCAGAGCACTCTCGGTATTTTTGGCTCAATGTTCAATTGGAGTTTAAGTAAAGTCTGAAATATCGTTTGGTAGAGATGAATCTCCATCAGGATGAGTCTCCGACTTACTCGCTCAGACGATGACGACATGACCAACAGCTTGGTCCAGGCTCAACTCACATATTTGAAACATGAACACATTTTGCGTTGACTCACTGAGCTGAAGCAGGGCCAATTCTACCCTTTGGTTACCTTAAAGAGAAGGCCCAACGACGGGGCTGAGAGGAAAAAAGATGTTACGCAACAAACGGTGTTGTCACATTTGCAGCATGTAAGAAACGCTCAGTGAGGGTATCTCCACCTCTTTGCATTCACGTCATTTACCCATTAACACTATTTCTCAGTACCAAATCAACGCGTTGTTTATGAGGAATAAGCTCGTTCATTACAGCTTCAGCCTTCAAGCGAACAACAACCTGTTCAATCTCCTTTGTTACAGAAAGCAATCAAGGAACGTGACGAATCTAACCTGGAGAAAGCACGTCTCAGAGGTCAACTGGAAGAGATTGAGAAAAAGGTGGTAACCATAACGTTTCTCCTCACTTACCGTTTCTATGATTATTTCTTGTACTGATATATTTTTGAAATTCATCACAATATTTGCTCCTTATTATGTAAAATACGATAAGAATAGTTCGTCGTTGATTGGGCTCGCGTTCATAATTTTAGATTCTCTATCTGCTTGGGACATAGTTAATCTTTTTTTTAAATTTCTGATAGGTCAAAGCTACCAAATAGTTGCAGCTGCAATAGTCAGAGAATCTCAATCGGCATCCATTAGCAGATAGGATTGGCTAACCCGGGCTATAACATGGGCCATGGGCCACCTCAACAATGTCATATTGGACGTCTGAATACGAGCCACTTAAGCTTACGTGGGTGGCCATGTACCACCTTCCCTTTGTGCCCCATAAATACTCATAGAAATCGGATGTTTCAGCGGCCGTTTTCTAGTGTCAGTAGTTTCCGACAAGCAAAATTGCAATAGCAACAAATGTTTTGGTCATTTGATACAACAACGGGTGCCTTGGTGATGTTATGTGTTTACGGCAGTGTAGTTTCTACAAAGGACGTGCTGAATTGTCATATCCCGTTTTAACGGTTTTAGGTAGCGTCCTGTCTCAATGATTGCGGGCAGAGTGCTGCCCAAATAATCAAATATCGTTACCTGTCTCTGGGAGGCGCGCGATTCACGCGTGACCCCATTAGAGCTCTTCGCGCACGCGCACGGAGCATCGTTTCAATACCTTTCTGTTGAGATGGACCAAATAAATTTGCAGTAGTCCATGACTTCATCATGAATAGAGCAAATCTCTTTACTATGACCAAAAAAGCCCCCCTTCGAGATTGAGAATCCAATTCATAGGTCAACAATTTACTTGTCAAACGTTCAAACTAAGAATAATTCAAATTCTTTGATCCTAGAAGATGCAATCCTTCTGTAAACGTGAATAGTTGGTCATTTTTTACTTATTCTACGTATAAGTTCTTATTTCATCCATTATGACGGTAGGCATGATGTTTTAGCGCGTTTTGTTCGATGACCTCCTTATATCGACGCGTGATTCGCACCACACCCCCTGTCTCTAGAGTGGTCTGAATGGATGAGTGAAAACCGCTTGAAAAAGACCGCTGCTACGTGCTTAGAGCGACGAATTTCACAAAAACAGAGGACGCATCTAACTAAATTTGAAGCAAAGCAATGAATTCATTGAGAGACCTGAAATAGACCTTTTAGAATTCTCAGTCATCGAGCGCTACTTATTAATCATCTCCACAAGAAGCAGAAAACACAACTGGGTACACCGTTGAGCGAGTATTGCCGCTGAGTTCGATTCTTTTCCAAAAACAAGCTATCTATCCAATTGTTTTTCACTCAAAAGGGAAAACTAACACTGATTTTCAAATTTTCAGATTAGTGACGCCATGGTAGCGCTTTCCAGCAAAGAAATGAAGCAGGCGGAAAGCCTTTACCATGAAGTTGTTGTAAACAAAATTATTACACAGGAAATGATTTCGGTTTGTATGATTTCGGTTTTGATCTGTTCTTGAATGGCAATGGTTATTCTAGTATGGTGTTGTAGGATCTGGAAAAGTATATGCAGTGCCTCGATAGCTCCATCATTCAGTTTCACAGTGACAAAATGGTGGCAATTAACCGGATATTGGATGAGCTCTGGCGTAAAGTGTACGGTGGCACCGACATTCAGTCTATAAGCATTAAGTAAGTGTTTGACAACCAATATTCAGCAAATGCAGTTTGATCATTCTTTGCTTTGCCGGTCTGGTAATCACCATGTGGGGGGAAAAAGAGTTCAAGCACTTCGAAAAAAATGTGGCCTTTAGGAGGGGATTCAGGAATGAGACGGTGTCCGTGTAATTCGGTTATGTCTTTCACTGACCAATTAGACTTGTTTTATTTACCCTCCTGGCATGGCAACTGAGTTTGATTGTAATCGAACTTCGCTTATTTGGTAAAATTGTGCCAAAGTCGTTACTCCGTCAGCACCGCGTCGCGGGGAGGAAGGTAGCGTAGAATATGAGTTTTTGTGTAAACTTCAGTGCCTGTTGTGGGTACACAACTAGTCTCGCTGATCACCTTAGATAACACTTTTGATGAGTACCTCTTGAGACTATTCCGATGGCTTAACCGATCGGTATCTTAAGTGTGCTATCAGGTAGGTGACCTAAGCATTGTTGTTGGCGTGGTGCACCCTTTTATCCCATATCTTAATCGTACTCATACAGTGAATCAACGATGGCACTGATGACACTCTCCCCTATTTGATGTTTCTGGTCCAAGAAAGGAACCCTCGAATACAGGTAAACACACCGACACACCGACACACTTTGCGAGTTGGGTCCAGTCCCTCATATTTCAACTTGACTGTGTGTTTTCACTCGGAGTAAGCTCACATCACGCTTGGTCCGCCTCCTACATGTACATTACACGTAGTTGAAAATTTTCGCTAAAACCCCTCCCAATGTGGGTGAAGTCTGGTCTTGCCACCAATAATAAGTGTATCCATCCTGCCGCCAGTATTCATACGGAATTTGAACGCTCTGAGTGCTTGGTAACAAGGGCTATGATTTTCGCTCAAACCCCGCCCAGTGTGGGTGGGGTCTGGTCTTGCCACCCATCGTGTCTCTTTCGTGCCTAGTGTAGTCCTACCGGATTTAAACGCTATAGGTCCACGGTTACAGGAATTATGGTTATCCACTCAAATACTTATTTTGCACAACGCCCGCCCACTGTGGGCGGAGTCGGGTCCTGCCACCCACCATAAGTGTTCCCAACCGGCCGCACGCACTCCTTTCAGGTTTGGACGCTCTAGGTTCCTTGAGATAGGGGTTATGAATTTCCGGTCTGACACAACTCATACAAATACGCATACACATACACAAACAGATACACATACAGATCCACACACACAGACACACGCACAATCAACAGACACACACACGAACAACCAACAGGCACACTTAGCCATTATGTAAGTAGGATGCCTTCGATGACGTCTCAAGAGGTGTTCCGCAAAAGTATTACCTAAGGTGATCAGCGAGACTAGTTGTGTACCCTTAGCAGTGACTTCCCTATGTTACTCTGGAAATATAAAACATACCGATCAAAAATGAATTAATTTCATGAGTCGCTGTGGGCAGCACAACATTCGTACACTACCATAATACTCTGCAGTGTTGCATATAACACCAGTGATTAGTACACCTTATACAATCACGTCATTCCTTTGCCTTCTTGTGCTTCAGTGTCCTCTTACACTATTTGATTGATCATTTCTATGCATCTTCTCGTTCTCAGGTCTGAATGTGCCGCTAGCACGGAAAAAAGGAAGGTTTACGACTACCGAGTGGCGATGGTGATAAAAAATGGGATAGAATTGGATATGAGGGATCGTTGCAGTGCTGGGCAAAAAGTATGTTCAAAGCCATGTAAGATCCGATGTCTGTAAGACTCAGTGGAAATGTTTTTCCATTACGTAAACTAATTACTCTGCATTGCTCAATGTAACAGGAATGCTAGGTATGTGGCTGTGATTAGACGTTGTTCTAACTTCAAAATTAGGCTTTGCACAGAAATAGCTTTTTTTCTGGGTTCTCAGCTTAGAATGTTTTTGCTTGGTTTCAGGTGCTAGCATGCATACTTATTCGTATTGCTTTGGCAGATGTATTCGGAGGAGCATGCTCGATAATTGCCCTAGATGAGCCGACTACAAATCTTGACGCTTTGAAGGTAGCCCTTTCAATAGAGTTTAGACGTGGAACGAATTTTTTCATTCACGATATAAACCGCCAGTTAGAATAAATCTCTTCGTGATTTCTGTAGCGAACATAAAGAAGTAGCTACCAGAAGCCTCCATTAATTATCTACAGCTGTTTTCCGAAGGAGCAAACTACAAACAAACGCAGCGTTAGAGTAGGAATTTCTAGTCTCGATTACTGAAAACATACAGTAGCGCTCAAAAGTCTTCGGTGAAATGGCTGTTCAGCCGTGCTTTTCAGTCGTAACTCCTTACTGGATCTAATCATGCAAAATTTCTATATTTGGAGCGTGGGTGTATTGTGAATATTTACCACTATTGACCTGCAATTTGATCATGTTCCAGATATACTAAAGAGCTTGAACACA